ACGTGCAGGTGGTCGTCCATGTGGACGTTTGCATTCTCTTGGAGTCCACTCTACTGTTCTTTTCGTTCATCTGTCGTCTGTTCTTCTCATTATGTGACCGGCCCATCTATGTTTCGCTGTCGATGTATATTCTCCTGGATCTCGAAGATGTAACAGATTTCGATGGTAAGAGTTTCGTATTCCGGCCACAAATTGAGAGTGCCGGTAATATTTCAGAAGACATCACTCAAGTGCTCTGTGAGTAGTTCGAAGTATTCTTAACGTAGTTGAAGTAACAACCCACGTCTGCTGCATAACAGAGAGCTAGGAGGACCGTTGAATCAAGGAGATGAGCGCGGATTCTCGGGTCCATCAGTTGGTCGGTGGTTTCTTAGTGACGCCCTAATGCTGCCCAAGCTGTTCATCTTCTTCTATCTACTTCCTCCTTCATGTTGTTTTCCATGTTCATTGATCGCCCAAGGTATACGTACGAGGCGGTCTCTGCAATGAGAGACTCATCCAATTCAGTTTTCCCGCCTTGGCACCATGGGTTTCAACTGTATTTTCGTAGTGCAGTTCCGATAACAGTCGGACAGAGTTCTTATGTAGGACGGGTCCACTCCTTGGTCGACGAGCGCTGATAGGATGGCATTCGTTTCGACACTGTCAAAAGCATTTTCGTAGCCGACAAAAGGTTAGGACTAAATGCAAGTAGCATTCCCGACAAACTTCGATAACCCTGGACACGGTTTGCATGTGGTCCATTTAGTAAAGTCCTTTTCAAAATCCTGTTTGCTCGATTCGTTGCGCCTCATCCAATGTCCTTGATATGCGCGAAAGGACAATCTTCGTGGAGAGCTTGTAGAGTACATTCAATAAGTATATGGGACGATAGTTACGAAGATCCCTTCGTTCTCCTTTCTTGGGCAGGACGACCGTGCGCGACGTCCTCCACTGGTCTGAGATTTTTTCCTTTTGAAGGTAGGTTGTCATATGATTCGTGAGAAGTACATGTAAATTGTGGCTCCCAGCTCTATAGAAGTTGGCGGTAATATTATCGGGTCCTGGAGCTGTGTCTCTTTTCATGCTTTCTATCGCAACTCGAACCTCCGACAGAAGAATACCAGGTGGTTTTTCTCCAGCGGGGATATTAGGGTCCGAGACGGGGATTGTGTAACGGAAAAGGTTAGTGTATTTTCCGCTACTAGTTCCATGTCAAGGCGGAAAATTTTGACGATCCCATCTTCGTTCATCAAGGCCGACAGAGCAACATTATAATCACACAAGTCCCGACGGTATTTTTTCAGACTGCTTCTTTTCTCTGCTGGCTCCAGTAGTTTCTTCTGCTTGTACCGTTGTATATCTTCCTGCAAAACTCTTCTGCAGTTGGCATTTATTACTAGCCATGTTAAACGTGTTGCAGTAGGATCAAGCTTCAGTTTCCTTCTCTTTTCGAGTAACTCCTTAGTAGTGATGGAGAAGCGATCCCATCTTCTTGCTTGAGGAACTGAGGCGATTTCGGTATAGCTTTTCAGTTCTTCGACAAGCAGCTCGCAGTCGTCGGTCGGGTCTTCTTTAATCTGCCAGTCACGTTTGGACCGGACTGCGTTCAGAATGTTCTCATCGTATACAGCTAGACTTCTTCCTCGTGGTCGATGAAGAGAGTTCTTTTCCAGTTTGCGGCTGAATCGAATCTTCGCGCGAAGAAGGCGGTGATTGGAACCAGTACAGAATGACAGGACTCCCTAGGTGTAAAGTAGGAACCATATTCTGTTTGTCAGAATGTGGTCGATCTCCGCATGAGTCATGCCGTTAGGAGACTTCCATGTCCAGCGACGGCTTTCCTTGTTCTGGAAAAACGAGTTTCCATGGAAGAGACGTGCTGCTGACATGAGTTCTGCGAGGCGGTTCCCATCCTCATTTCTTTCTCCTTATCCAAAATTTCCAATCCCGTATTAGCTCTCGTTAGCCTTTTCTATTCTGGCGTTGAAGTTTGCAACAACAAATTTATGATATGCTTTATCATTGCGGATGACTTCCTCCAACTGATAGTAGAACGCATTTAATTCGTTCTCATAAGCTACGTCGGTCGGTGAGTAGCAGTTGATGATAGTGGTCTTATGATGCGACAGTTAAAGACGGAGGACGGCTATGCGAGGTGAAAGGATCACGTATGAGACGACGAGATGGACAATGGACGGTGGACGATAAAGCCTGCGCCACCGACATTTCGTGACGGGTCCTTTTCTCCACAGATCACAAGGATCCCATTGTTTAGTTGGCGTATGTCGGTCTTCCTGATTTTTATTTCTTGTAATGCGATCACATGAAATTTAATCCGATCTGCGGCTACAAGAAGGGCATGAAGATCGGCGTCTCTGGAGAGTGTTCTGACATTATACGTGCATAGTAAGAAACAGTCCCCATGGCGTGTCATGCGTGTGTTCGTCAGATCCGGTTCCAATGACGTCCTGCGTAACCCGAGGCTTTTTGGCCTCTCACCGGTCGCCTCACCGCCTGACGTCATAGACGGGAGCACCCAGTGTGCGGGGTACTGAGGCTGGCCTATTGCTAGTCGTGCACTTGGTCCTCCCTGGAGTCCTGACTTAACCTTGCAAGGGCGTACTCAGGTCTTCATCACGATGTAGATCAGTGGAAGGTGTTTTCGGCGACGAATCCTTCGCTCGGTCTTCCTACCAGCTGATTCGGAGAGATGTTAAAACCAAAATCAGAAACGCAAGTAGGAGTGAAAAAAGTAACCGACCGCTCAAGGACGATGTACAAGCCGAAAGCGTTTTTCATTTACTACGTACAACCATGTTCACAGCATGGTGTTATGCGAAATAAACCACAATAATGCTGAAATATTTGCAAAATTTCGGATGGCAGGTCTCTGCGGTGACGATCTAACACGCTGTTACTCTTTTTGCGGGCTAACACGTTCACCACCACACCATGCGCATCCTTCATTTCGCCTTTCTCTCAGCGCATGGTGTGGTGGTGAACGCGTTGGCCTCGGAAATGGTAATAGCGTGTTCCATCACCATCGCAGACACCTGCAGTCCTGAGTTTTGCAAGTAGTCCTACATTTAAATGCGAACGGATTGGTTTCGCATGCCCCGTTCACGCTCCACGGAACGAATATCTCCTAATGCCCCAGTTATGTCTATCTAGGTCGGGAAATCAACATGATGAACGACTTAGCTCCAGAGTTGAGAGGAAACGAGCGAGCGGCCTGAGGGGCTTTCAAGAGCATCGAAGAAGTAGTGAGGAGAACAAAGAACACTCGACTCCATACCCACGTTTTCGACTCAACGGTACTTCCTGCGTTAACGTATGCGTCAGAAACCTGGTCCTTGAGTAAACAGGATGACTCAGCCTTATTGAACGCGCAGTCGAAAGGACGATGTGAGGAGTATCCCGTGCCACGAAAATAAGGGAAGAGATCCGAAGCTCCGACCTGCGTCGACGATCAAAAATCGATGATGCGGTTCTGTACGCCAAACAGTCGAAGATAAGGTGGGCCGGACACGTAATGCGTATGGATGACAACCGATGGACAAGAGCCGTTAGTGACTAGATTCCTCGGGATTTCAAACGTACTGCAGGAATACCACCGACTCTATGGTCAGAGTCCTTCACGAAAAGTCTAGGAAAAAGATGTGATGCACAACGAATTGCTAGAGCGAACAGAACCCACTGAGCTACTCTTCAACGCGACAGGGAAAAATGGTAGATTTATTGGCGCCCGCTCGAGTCATTTGGCGATCAACGGGATTACAGATGATATAGGTGAATACAACTGCAAACAACTTTGGAGGGATCGTGTTATCTTGTCCAGACCATTTTGCTTTAATGAAGGTAAGCAGTCGATGGAGAAACTGTATCTTATGTTGCGATTACGACAGAAGTCGGCTAGTGTCCTTATACGGACGAGTCCATTTTTTGGACAACGAGCGCCGATAGGATTAGAATCGCTCCGCCACTGTCGAACGTTTAAATTCGACAAGGGAGGTCAAGAGGCAGGGAGCAGGTGATATTCTTGACAAACTTCTTTAACAATAGACACAGTTTAGATGTGGTCCGTACGGCAGAATCCTAGTGGAAATCCTTCCTGATCAACTGGTTCTGCCTCTTCCATTTTCGCACCACTGAACAAAGAGAATATTATACGGGGAACACTGGAAAGATTCCACATTGTTCAATACACACAGGTCAGATTCCTAGAATTCACCACCACATATAAATGCAGCTGAATACAGAGAGCACCGGGAAGAATTCTATGTCCACAATTATCGTTGTAATTGTATCAACGACTAAAGCGGGTATCAGTAGTACGTCCATTTGACATTGTCGTGCACCACAGATACCTAGCAAGTTCCGTTCGCTCGAAGGCACGAAGAGGGTAGTATAATTCATATGAGATTCTCTACCTTTACAGTTCCTGGATATAAGGTAGTCATTGGTGCCTCACTAGGCCCCACTGTCTGAGATTAGGTGTACTGCAGGAGTTTGTGGGACATTCACTAAGAGTTGTTGTTTGTTTGTTCCAAGCAACACCGACCAACCTCCCGCATATTTCCGAATAAGTTAACTAAATGCCCTTTTCGTAATCGATGTGCTGCACATAATTCTCATAGATGCAAAAAAACCTTCGTATACATGCAAAAATCTATATACAAATACCAGTTGCTAGTAAATTCAGGGTAAAAACCAGCAGTCCATTCTGTTGATCAGATGCGTCTAAACATGATTGCATTTAGCCAGTGGTCGACTTTTATTTAAATAACCGATGCAAAAAAAGAAACTCATTGTTTTTATTAATCAGCAAACAAAGCGTAGGAGAAAAAAGGTTATCACTTCGTGCTCGAGAAAAATTTTTCAGATTTGAACCGTAGATTTCCAACTCTTACATGCCATACCGACATTAGACAAAGCAGATGAAAAGAACACTTTCTATGTTTACTTGTATGAGATTGTTAAGAAAGGAAGACACTTGTGCCGTTATGGCAACAGACAGTTTAGAGAGCTGCCAGTTCAATTGTGAAGAAATGTCGGCCAAAAAATTCTAAAAGACAACAGGAACTTCGACTTACTTCAGATTCATCGTACCATACATTAACATATTCATGGGATAGTGCGTCGTCGACAGATATTCTCTTTTCGGGATCGATCACTAGCATTCGAGAAAGAAGATCCCTCGCTTTGGAAGCTAGAAATAACAATAGTCACAAATATTTAATCTAGAAATCGATTTACTTAAATACAACCACACCTGTCAGACGTGCATTATCAGCACTAGGAGGAAACATATTATCGGCAAACAATGTTTCGAAAGGCACTGCTTGATATCTGGACAAGTAAATTTTTCCGAAGTTCAACCTAATAGGTACAGAAACAGAAATTAGAAGCAAACACTCACCTGGGTCGATTTTCTACATAATTCCGCACAGTCGTCTGCAGCCGACTTAGGAACTGTGGGTCTGGTGTCCCTAATAACTCAATAATCCTTGTCCATTGATCTATATGGTCAGCACCGGGGAATAACACTCGACCCCTGACCAATTCCCCAAATATACAGCCGACAGACCAAACATCAACTGCAACTGAGAAAGAATAGAAACAAAAGTGAAATTGAGTTATCTCAAAAGTCCTCAACAACTTAGCACTCTATGAAACACGGTGGAAATATGAACAACGTACCCATATCTCCAACTGAACTTTTACGTCTGCTGAAATAACAAATCACATTCACCAAACAATTGATACAGACACACCATTCTCGCCATATCCCATTCCCAGAATGACCTCAGGAGCACGGTAGTAACGAGTGACGACATAGGGAGTCATCATAAAAGCTTCAACAGCAGTTCGGGCTAGCCCAAAGTCCAGTATTTTGAGTGTGCAATCGCTTTTAACAACAATGTTTGACGGTTTTAAATCCTAAATTAGCTCACATTGATCAAATTCCCGATGCTTACAAGTACTCCAAATCAAAGGAAATACGGCAAAATTACTGCTCGTAAAAGTGTCTAATTGGAAATAAAGGCAGTACGCTAGTGGAAAAATTTCAAGTTCCCATAACCCTGTCGTAAAAGTGAGAGCATATTTGTAAATAATGTGGTTTAAACTGTTTAAATTACCAAATTTGCAATAAATCATCATCTAAACATAACATCTTCGAGAAAAAATAGTTCTTGTGCTGGAATATTCTCACGTCCTGAAAAACGTACTCTATGAATAATTCCCGCGCTATGAAGATGTTTGATTCCGCACAACATTTGGTATAACAAATAGGACAACCGCTCGTGATCCAGATCCATTTGTATGACCTGCAAGGGAATGCTGACACCAACTGCTTTGCTTGTTTGATATTATTTTTGTGGAATGAATAAAATTCGAATAATTTTAACTTTTTCTTTACTGCCTATAACAATTTTCACGGCAGAATATTACGCGAAATACAACCACAACGACGCTCAGATATTTGCAAAACACCTGACCGCAAGTGTCTGCGGTGAGGAACGAACGCGCTATTAGCCTTTTCGGGCGCTAACGTGTTCACCACAACACCATGCGGGCCCTTCGTTTCGACCGCAAATTCGAAGAATTCCAACGTATTAGAACAGCAAAGACGTGCCTGACACAAATTGGCATCCATGAGCTCCATAACAATATAAAGATCACTAAACTCCTCCACATCTCTCTGTGGAGAAAACGCATTCAACAAACCAATAATCTGGAAAAGTAATAAAATAATGACTCATGACATAATGGCTATGAAAGGGAACCAGAAAAATAATAAGCAGAAATTAAAGTAGAGTGAAGAAATCAAACATCAAAATAACACTTACGTTTTTATGGTTAACAAGGTTCATGAGGATAAATTCTCTGTAGGCTCTTTTGGCATGGGTAACATTTTGGAAGGGTCGAGACAACTTTTTAATAGCAACTGGCCTGTTAGTAACTGTATCCGTAGCAGAGCTTAAAATAAAAACTGAGTGTTGCTTTCGACTAGTACGATAATTCGACGAACCAAACAATGCCTTGTGCTCCAGAACCGATTAGCCGAAGGTTTTCATATCGCTTCAAGATCACCATTTGAGTTTCTCCAACGGGAGCGACGTAGTAGTTCTCCGGAACTGATGTAGACGCCATAGAGAACGTACTATAACTGTAACCACAAATACTAAACAACTGCAGTTGTAAGTTGCTAACTTAGAACATGCATATAAACAAGTGAATAAACACAACAACTTACCTTAGAATTTTGGAAAGTGGGAATTCTAAAGAAATTGAACATGCACAACTCTTTATCGCAGTAGTTCTTGAATCCGAATCGTTCCCAAGCATTTGCCATCCATGAAACTCGCCGCATTTGCGGATTCGATTCGGATTTTGGGGTCTTTGATTTATTTCATTAATATCACTGAATATGGTCGTGTAGATCCACCCTCGAATCCTGAGGCAGCCTTGCAAGTGGTTCTCTTTTACGTGCGAGTCACGGAGTTATTCGAGGGCAGCAAGTAATCGAGGAAGAAAACGGATACAGCAATGAACGGAGAAAATAACATGAAACACCAAAACCAAAACTCGGACCAAAACTGAAATCGAAATAAGAAACCAAAAACTGACTTTTAGATTAAAAAAACGCATTACTACTCATAGTAAACTCCATTCATTAAAAAAGAACAATGACAACTGGTACTAGTAAGAAACACGTTTCCTGCAGTATCGCGTTCTGATTTCTGGAAAAATCTGCACCTTAATTAAATTTGGGTTCCCTGGAATACATGAAACTATCTTTTTGCTCTTTTTTCGAGCTTGTATCTGAAATGCAGAAGCATCCGAACAAGTGGAACCCCGATGGCGACGACAACATGATAACTCCCTGAATGCATTGCTGATGCTTGCTGCCACCATATTTGGGTAAAAAAGTAAAAACTTGAATTTTGAATGAACCCAGAATTAAATGGTTCAGGAAAATTACGAGGACTCTGCACGATAGGCTGAAGTTTTCCATAAGGCAGTCAAATCTTCGGGTTGTAAGGCACTCTAGTTACCCAGAAATTATCGAGAATTGTAGAGAAACACGATCCGTTGCGAGAGCGTGAGATGTATTTTCAACCAAAAAAGTCCCGTATGAGGTCTTTGGCCAGAAAAACACAACGGATTTTTGCATTGACGCAATAAATGCGAAAACCTTTGAACAAATAGAAATTTGCTGTTGTTAAAACCATAGGCGGCCAGGATAGACAAACTATCATCGGGCTGAGAAGGGGAACAAAGACAGAAACAAGGAGTCTCTTTCCCGCATGAAATATCCTTTTCTATTACAAGACATTTTACAACTGGGCTGCCACCCAAGCGATATAAACCGGTTATGCGGGGTCCGGGGAAATCGGAAGCATTTTTTTTCGCAGAAAATGTGGCTCTTTCAATGAAGATATCAATAACGCAAGCGATAGCTTATGTAGACACACAGTTACGAAGTGTGAACCGTACCGACGCTTCCGCACTGTATTCTCACTTCAGTTTGTTAACCAAACTGCAGTAATAAAAACTTTGACGTTCAAAATAATTTAGTAAAGTCAATTTTAATCGTCTTATCTAACGAATGGGGTGGACAGCACGGTGGTGTAGTGATGTCTATCATCACGAGCATGGCGCTACCTCGATTCCGCTCCGGGCCAACCAAGCCTCTCATCCCTCCGAGGTCGAGAAATTGGTACTGGACTTGTCTGAGAAAAAATCACTCTCTGCAATCAAATTAGGAACGCTCCAGCCCGGCTATCTTAGGACTCCAGGAAGAATTGCTTGACCAGTATTCTATGATATTCAAGATGAAATGAAAATCCTCAAGCAGCAACCGAAGTCACACTTAATGGTTGGAAGATGTTCGTGGATAATGGATGCGAGGAAACAAATTGAATGCGAGAAGTGCTGCCATCCGCACAGTAGACGTGAAAAAGGCGCAAATAAAATAAAACAAAAAATATACCTAACTAAAGCGATGAAAAAACCCTCAAACATAGCGGTACTCACTTTCTGGATATGGGGCTAAATGCACTGCTGCAGCTGTCGAGCGAGAGCTCGTCCCCACGAGCCCCGGATGTCGTCGCCAGCCACTAAATTGTAAACTGTGCAGAAGCAGCTGTACCACAGGTGAAGCTCAAATCAAGGAACGAAGAAAAAACCAGGTATGGAAATCGAACCGTCATAAGCTCGATCCTGAATACCAAATAAACGGAACACTAAGATTCCATGGAAGCACTTAGGTTAGCATTTAGTAATAAACGAGCAAATCACAAAGTTATTGAAGTAGTCTTTAACACGTGCGCCTGTTCTACTACTTGAATAGAAAGAGAGAGAAAGTGAAGCGAACCGAGCAGGAACAAATCCAAGACATTTTTAGCACTTGTAAGACGTGTGAACCTAAGACTTGATGGAATCAATCACGAGCAGTGGGACAAAGCGACAGGACGAGCCCGTCCGCGTTCCGGAAAGCACCGAAACGAGCGGAGACCGCGGGAAAAAAACACGTGCGCGGAGAGCGAGCATCGATCTGCTCGAATTCCGCGAACCGCGCCGCTACGCGCGGTCGCGACGCCTCGCAGGCGGCCGCCCTTCCTCGTCACCGCAGATAGACCTCCATGGCGGTGATTGCGTCCAGCTTCTCTATGATCACTTTCGTTACCTCATCAAATCGCCCGGATATGCCAAAAACTGAGCATCAGCTAGTGATCGGTACGAGGAGAGATGAACATAGAACATGTGGAAGTTTACCACTAAGGAACGAGCTTCCGCGGCAACTCTTCCGTTGACAGTCGGCGGAATGCGGTCGTCGGCTTCCGCATCCGGTCTATCTTGTCGCGGCTGACGCGGCTGCTGTCCTAGCGGGATCGTCCGCTCCAACGCATGATTGCACCCACTGCTCATTTACCTTTACTCGTCTTTTTTTGTGAACATGTTTTAGCATTTTCCTCGTTTCTCACTTTTATCTCATAACTCCGGGGAACTGACGAATTTGACTAGTCAAAAAGCAGATTTCTTTTTTACTACCCTGTCTTACCATCTACATCTTACATACTCTGCAGGTCTCGTGGTGTAGTGCTTATCACATCTGTCTAACACACAGAAGCTCGGCGGTTCGATCGCACTCAAGACCAGTCTTCTGATTCCCTTAACTGGGAGCGGAGCAACATTTCTCCCCTTGATTCCCTGATTTATTTCACAGCAGTAGTTGCATCTTTGGCACTCTGCCGGTCTCGTCGTATAGTGGTTATCACATCTATCTAACGCACAGAAGGTCGGCGGTTCGATCCCGCCCGAGTCCAGTTATGGAGCATCAGTATAGCGTAATGGCTAGAGGTACCCTGCAATATAAACTGGATCGGTCTCTGGTTCGATTCCGTGCTCTGGGTTATCCAAGTTTTCCATCCCTTTGGAGTCGACAGATTGTTACCAGATTTGCTCGGGAGAGTAGCAGCACTGACCTGATGAATCCGTAAGCCATCGCAAATCATTGTACGAATCAGATACACATTTAATCACCTCTACGATGCTTGATGGAGTCGAACCTCAGGGGTTGATTAACGGTAACCGCTTTATCCCTCTTCCTGCAGTCTCAATGAAGAGCTGTGACCATCAAGACGTCGTTATGGGTTTTGCTTCTACATTCTATGGTCGCTCACCTAAGTCGGAGCCTCGAATTCATCTTGTCTTGCATGACATGGAATGTTCTTGGTACCAGTATTTCAAAAGCATGTTCAATAATAAAGGATAAAGCTCTCGGCGTTGATCAATCCGTGTAGGGCTTGCCTTGCACTTAACTTCATTAACCAATGTTAGAGGTGACTGGATGCATATATGACCTATACACTGACTCAAAGCGGCCTATCGATGTATCGAGCCAGTGCTTCTATCCTCCCAGACAAGTCTAATTTGCCAACTCCGGAGAGATGGTAGACTTCGTGACCCTGGAGCGCCGGATCGAATATGTGTATTGCAGGGCGCTTCTGACAACTGTGTCACATGCACCCCGTTCAAAAATACGAACTGTTTTTTTCATACTTCTTAAGTAGCGTCAAGATCTCAAAGATGTACATTGTACATCAATGTAGAAAGGAGAGTCGAAAGAGTGATCACAGAACTACTTGTCCACTGTTCTCGTCATTATGCTGCTCTTCTCTGGAGCTAGGTAGTTCATTTCATCATTTCATCTACAAAAACGAATCCGGATGTTATGGACGTTTTTTTTCGGGGGTTCAAAAAAGATCCATTTTTCCACAAGAGCTGTTGAAATTAGCCGTTCCAGCTGGTTAACATGTAAAGGTTATAAGACCGATATCATCACCAGTGGAACAGATGCTGGCCGTCGACGTTTATTTCCATTGTGTTCTTCCAACGACATTCTCGAAAGTGGCCGTAAATAATTTGACGTATTGTTGTTGACTTATCGATTTCTTAACGTATATGACAATTTTGTTGTGGAAGATGTTTGTGTAATAAGGAGATATCTGTAGGTTCCGTTACCACCGTTTCGTTTCACCTGACTCGAAAGCTAAATATATGAAGATGAGATATGGGGTTCTCTTTTACTGATGATATGCAAAAGAGTCACTACCGTGTGGATGTCACCAAGTTTGCTGAATTATCGAAGCTTTAACTACTCAAGTAGCATTTTTAGGTCAATTATTCTGGTTATCCCGTTGGCAAGGTCTCCAGTGAAGAGCTTGAAAACAACAAACAGCAGGCGATTGGGCGATAGTGATTGATCCTGTGTAGGTCTTTTTTGAGCGATAACCCGGTTCTGTACAGCTCTTCATCAACAAGAAAATATATCGGACTTTGGAAGGGGAAAGTAATTGTGATTATGCATCCATCCACTTTAGCAGAGAAACATAGCTGTCGAGGAGGTTGGAGTAAACGTCATGAACGATTTTCATGATTGCCTTTTTGGAATCCATAATTGTTTTGTCTAGGAGCCCGAAGGCGATCGTCTTCGTGGTTCAGTTGGCGAAGTCTGCGACTCTCTTCCTATTCTCTGCAACTTCAGCCACTACTGCTACTGCATCCTACTCAAGATCTTTTATTACTTCTCTGCAACGACTTTCAAGTATGGGACGTAAGCTGGTGATTGCCTGTGGCTCGTAAAT